GGATCTTCTCTTACTACTTCTTCTACTTACTTATCTATTCTTGTCCTCTATGCTTTTCTGCATTTCTTTTCATAGTCATAGAAAAAGGACCAATCTGTCCTCTTTAACGGTTTCCCGGTATTTCTTCTCATCAAAAATGTTAATTCGTCCATGTCTCTTATTTCTTTAACTTTCTCCAACCATTCTTCAATGGTCGGGATCTGTTCATTTTTCCAATATTTGGCAAAAATAATCCTTGCCGCTGTAGTAAAATATGTGAATAATTTATCTTCATTCTCCTCCAATTTAAAGTCTGAGTCCGTAAATCCTAACAAATAATACTCAGGTTTCTTTTTGAACTTCCTCTTCAATATCTTTTGTAATTCCTCATGAATGGATGCCCAGAACTTCGTTGTTTCTTTACATGTCCACCACATGTGGTAGAATGTGCCCGTTTGTTCACCACACTTCCAACACTTATCTGAGACATTTTGATACATATGGCTTAATTTATTCGGAGTCAGATACCATCTGTAAAACATTTTGTACCAATTTTCCTTCAAGTCCTTCAGCCCACTTAATCATACATGTTTTCACCTGTTCAGTTTCCGTAAGCCATTGGACCAATTTATTATAAAGTATTGTGACTATTTTCTTTTCAGTTTTTAATACTTTGTCCCATGTGTTTTCTTCCCAGTCAAAGCCAGTTTTTTGATCTTGTTTAAAATATTCTTTAATTTGTATATAATGTAACCAAGTTATATTACCAAAGGTGCTCTTGAGTTGTTCAAAAGATTTAATCTCCATTTTCCCTTTAAGCAGGATGTCCTTATATCTTGGCCATACCCTCCATCCTAAAAGTCTTCTTTGATGGGCCTCCATCGCCGAGACCCATAATGGCATAGTTTTATAAAAGAGGGCTTTATATCTCAACCATGTCCTCAGTAGTGAGGCTCGCACAAAATGATTTCCAATTTTTTTTCCTTAGATTCTCTATTATACCAAATGTACGCGTGCCAGCCTACTCTCAGGTCATGGCCTTCTAAATTTAAACATTTTTCCTTATCTAAGGTCATCCAGTCTCTTATCCATGACAGAGCACATGCCTCATGATAGGTTTTCAAATCCGGAAATCCCAAACCTCCTCTTGTTTTTTTATCAATTAAGTTTATATAATTTATTCTTGGCCTTTTCCCTTTCCAGATGAATTTTAATAAATCCTTCTTCCATTTTTTAAATAAGCTCAAATTTCTTATTACCGGTATGTTTTGAAATAGGAATATAAGTTTTGGTAGAACATTCATCTTTATTAATGATATTCGGCCCAGGAGTGATAGGTTTAAATAGTTCCATTTTTGTAGATCTTTTTGAATTATCTTCCAAACTGTTTCATAATTATTCTTCAGAAGTTGACCATTTCTCGCTGTAATCCAGACTCCTAGATATTTAATTTTCTTAACACTTTCTATCCCCAATTGTTCTTGAATCTTTCCTTGTTTCTCCTTTTCCACATTCTTAAATAGGAGTTTTGTTTTCTTCGTGTTCATTTTAAAACCTGCCACTTTCCCAAATTGCTCTATTTTTGTTATCCAATTTTGTAAGTTTTTCCCAGGATCCTCAATTGTTCCTAATAAATCATCTGCAAACGCCCGTATTTTATATTCAAATTTACCAATTTTCGCTCCTTTTATATTTTCATCATCTCTAATTTTCTTCATTAGGATCTCCACTGCCATTATAAAGATCAATGGGGACAATGGGCATCCTTGTCTAGTGCCCTTTGAAATCTCAAATTCTTGTGTCATTTGTCCATTTATTTTCACTTTGGCTTTTTGATGTTTATAAATAGCATTAATTGCATTATTAAATTTTTCTCCCATGTCCAATTCTTGTATTAATATCTTAAAGAAATCCCAATTTAAATTATCAAAAGCTTTCTCAGCGTCTATTGATAAAATAGCAAATTCTTTTTGGTGGTTCATCTCATAGTATTCCAAAAGATCTAGGACGTTACGTATGTTTTCTTTCATATGTCTATTTGGTAGAAAACCTGTTTGCTCTTCTCCAATCCATTTGTTTAAAAATGCTTTTAGCCTTGTGGCCATAATATTTGCAAATATTTTATAATCCGTATTTAGAAGAGAGATCGGCCTATAATTTTTAATATCAGTTTCCGGGGAACCTTCCTTGTGTATCACTGTAATTTCAGCTTCCTTCCAAGAGTCTGGTACCTTCTGAAACTTCATCGCTTCATTTACAATAACTTTAAGTATTGGTATTAGCTGTTGTTTGAAAGATTTATAAAATCCAGCCGTAAACCCGTCCGGCCCTGGGGCCTTATCTGCATCCATTTTATTAATTGCTTTTTCTATTTCCTCCTCAGTTATCTCTTTATTCAGTGCTTCTCTATCCTCATCTGTTATTTTGTCTAATTTCATTTGGCCAATATACTCCATAATATCTTCTTTCATTATCTTATCCTTTGTGTATAGTTGACTATAAAATTTCCCAAATTCCTCTATAATTTCTTTATCCGTCTTCAAATTTGCAGATGATGATGATGATGATAATAATAATAATAATGATGATAATAATAATAAATTTTATTTACTACCCCACCACCATCTCCCCAAAGGGGACTCAGGGCGGTTTACATGAGGCCAAACCCAACAGCATATTACCATAAAGTAAAGCCACAAAACAAAAACAACACAGTAAAATACATACAACATATGAGAACAAATATACTCCATAATATCTTCTTTCATTATCTTATCCTTTGTGTATAGTTGACTATAAAATTTCCCAAATTCCTCTATAATTTCTTTATCCGTCTTCAAATTTGCAGATGATGATGATGATGATAATAATAATAATAATGATGATAATAATAATAAATTTTATTTACTACCCCACCACCATCTCCCCAAAGGGGACTCAGGGCGGTTTACATGAGGCCAAACCCAACAGCATATTACCATAAAGTAAAGCCACAAAACAAAAACAACACAGTAAAATACATACAACATATGAGAACAAAGAAAATAAGGCAAAATTATACACAATAAAATAAAATAACATAACATAACAATGAGCGGGCCGCATGTGCAAGATAAAAACTAAGTACTAAAAACTATGATACCAAATTAGGAGGGATAGCTAGTACTCTGGAGGACAAGATCAGAATTCAAAATGGCCTTAACAGATTAGAGCAGTGGTTCTCAACCTTTCTAATGCCGCGACCCCTTAATACAGTTCCTCATGTATGTGACCCCCAACCATAACCCTAACATTATGAATCGCCATGTAAATAATGATCTGAAGGATGTATTTTCATTCACTGGAGCAAATTTGGCACAAATACCCGATATGCCCAAATTTGAATACTGGTGGGGTTGGCGGGGATTGATTTTGTCATTTGGGAGTTGTAGTTGCTGGGATTTATAGTTAACATGTAAACAAAGAGCATTCTGAACCCCACCAACAATGGAATTGAACCAAAGTTGGCACAGAGAACTCCCATGATCAACAGAAAATACTGGAAGTGTTTGGTGGGCATTGATATATTTGATCTGCTGATTCCAAAAATGACATCAGTTTTCCCCTACCAGTTATAGATTTTGAGATACAGAACATATCCCATCTAACATATGCCTACATCCTACCTCGAAGCTTACGATCTTCCGGGGAGGTCCTGCTCTCGATCCCACCTCTGTCGCAAATGTGCTTTGCAGGGACGAGAGACAGGGCCTTCTCGGCAGCCCCCCCCCTGTGGAATTTGCTCCCCAGCTAAATTAGTGCCGCCCCCCCCCCCCCCCGTCCCGAGGGCAGGAGAAGGCCAGGCTGGGCCAAGGGAGGCAGCTGGGGAAGCGGCCCCAAAGCCGCTTCGCCCGCTGCCTCCCTTGCCATCTCCTGCCTTTGGGATGAGGTGAGGCCCCGTCCCGAAGGCAGGAGAAGGCCAGGCTGGGCCAAAGGAGGAGGCAGAGGAAGCGGCCCCAAGGCCGCTTCGCCTGCCGCCTCCCTCGCCATCTCCTGCCTTCAGGATGAGGCGAGGCCCCATCCTGAAGGCAGGAGAAGGCCAGGCTGGGCCAGGGAAGCGGCAGGCGATGCGACCCCAAAGAGGGACTCACCCTTCTCCACACCGCGCAGGCCAGATAAATGCCCTTGGGAGGCCGGGGCCGGCCCATGGGCTGTAGTTTGAGGACCCCTGGTCTATACAAAGCAGCATTGAATGTTTGCCATGTATATGTACTAGGGCTGGGCGGTTTAGTTTCATTAATTCGTAATTCGTTAAAAATTCGTTATTTTTTTATAACGAAGCGATAACGAACCATTCTGGAGCAACTTAAAAATGAAACGAATTTTTAAATTCGTTTCGTAAATGCTTCGGATTCGTTATGTATTCGTTTCGTTATCGGTTTGAGGTCGTTTTGTTATTATTTCCGCATGTCTGGGGCAAGTTTTATAGTTGTTTTTTGTTTAATTAGTGAAAAAAATATATAATATCACACCAACAGTCAACAACAGAGGGAGAGGGAAGCTTCAGAAGTTCCCCCTGTCCCATTTGGAGGTTTTTTAGCGTATTGCGCGGTCGCGTCCGCCATTAACGAATCGATTCGTTATTGTTTCATATTTGTTTCGTTAATGTTTCGTAATTTTTTTAACATTTACGAAATTTCGTAAATATCGAACTTTTTAAAAGAAAAATTTCGGAATTCTTTTAAATATCGAAACGCAAAACCCCCCAAAAAATGAATCGATTTTAGAAACAAATTTTTCCGTTGTTACCCAGGCCTAATATGTACTGTAATCCGCCCTGAGTCCCCTTCGGGGTGAGAAGTGTGGAATATAAAGTGCTATTATTATTATTATTATTATTATTATTATTATTATTATTATTATTGATGGGTCTATGGACCGTAATAAATATTGTTGCTGTTGTTGTTTTTGTTGTTGTCCCTCAGAATACAAAGATGCAATGTTGGCATAACATGGGTCTCCATCTCTCCGTTGCTTTACAGGTGAGCGTCCTGACCACCTTGGAGCGACGGTTCAACCTCCAGAGTGCCGACGTGGGCGTCATTGCCAGCAGCTTCGAGATTGGGAACCTGGCCCTCATCCTCTTTGTGAGCTACTTTGGCGCCCGGGGTCACAGGCCGCGCCTGATCGGATGCGGAGGGATCGTGATGGCGCTGGGGGCCCTCCTTTCCGCACTGCCCGAGTTCCTTACCCACCAGTATGAGTATGAGTCTGGGGAGATCCGTTGGGGAGCTGAAGGCAGGGACGTGTGTGTGGTCAATGGGTCCGCCCGCGAAGAGGGACCGGACCCGGATCTTATCTGCAGGAACCGGACTGCCACCAACATGATGTATTTGCTTCTCATCGGAGCACAAGTTCTCCTCGGCATTGGGGCTACACCCGTACAACCTTTGGGAGTTTCCTACATTGATGACCATGTGAGACGGAAAGATTCCTCCCTGTATATAGGTAAGTGACCCACAATCAGGGTTATTTCCTCTTTCATTACACCTAGTCTTTATCTTCTCGGTATGGATAGCTTTGGAGTTTTTGTCTCATATTTGGTAGGTAAGAAAGGAGAGCAAGTGTTGTCAGAAATGTTGCAAGTGTTGTCAGATCTTCAATCCATTGTATCACAGGTGGATCAAAATGATAATCCCAGCAACCAAGTATTAATTTTTTAGCAGTCAAACATGGATCAAAAACCAGTTTCTCTTGTCGGTTTGTTAATTTCAGAGAAACAGGTCAGTCATTCAAAATAGTATTCATGTCCTTGAAGGAACTTTCCAAAACCATATTTACACATGTGATTACTTTGTCTCAAAATGCAGCTACTGTGTGGGACAACTCCAGATCATATGCCTTTGGAAACATTAGCAGTATTACATTTCCAACAGTATCCTGATTTAGAAGGTCCATACATCAATAGATATTGTGACAACTGATAGACCCAAAAGAGCCATTTTTGCTGTGGAAGACATAGGTGGAGATCTATAGCTGTACTAATATGTGTTTCGGAGTGTCAGGAACCCTGTTTGTCCACCCGGGAAAATAGAGTAATGAATATTCTTTCCATCACTAATGTGTGTGAGTTCAGTCATATCTTGGGACACGAAGGTAGAGAAATTGTGCATTTGGTTATACATTCATGTCAGATGATGATGATGATGATGATGATGATGATGATGATGGTTGGACTGGATGGCCCATGAGGTCTCTTCCAACTCTTTGATTCTATGATTCTATGAGTATTATTATTATTAGAGGACAGGGTTGTGGCACAGCTAGTTGGGAGTCAGCTGCATTGAAATCACTACTGACCGAGAGGTCATGAGTTCGAAGCCAGCCCGGGTCGGAGTGAGCTTCCGGCCATTTGTCTAGCTTGCTGTCGACCTTTGCAGCCCGAAAGACAGTTGCATCTGTGCTGGTTTTGACCTATACAGCTCTATATGGTTCTGTCCCAGTTTACTTGTCCAAACACATCTGCCTCTACGTCCTACCTCGTAACTTAAGATCATTCAGGGAGGCCCTGCTCTCGCTCCCACCAACATCACAAATGTGACTGTTGGGGACGAGAGACAAGGCCTTCTCAGTGGTGGCCCCCCCGCCTGTGGAACGCACTTCTGAGCGAGATACGATCAATCCCATCCCTCTTGGCTTTCAGGAAGAATTAAAAAATTGTGGCTATGGGACCAGGCTTTTGGTCAGAAGACATAAATTAGCACTTTAGTGGAAATGGATTGGAAAGGCGATTTACATAAGGATACGATTCTATTTGGTAACAAATGTTTTTATATTGTTTAATTAATGGCTTATGTATTTTATGTATTTTATATATTTTGATGGTTTGTTTAATAGTTATTGTATTCATGGTTCATGTAAGGGCATCGAATTGCAGCCTATGTAAGCTGTCCTGAGCCCCCCTTTTGGGGTAGAAAAGAGACAGGATATAAATACCAGAAATAAATAAATAGATAATAAGTAGAACATTTAGGTACCTCTTATGTGGGAGGGCTAATTTAATTAATTTACGACACCATGAAACTCTCTAGCAGTGTGCAAAGAATGAGGAAGTACTGCTTCGGTGTCACAAGTGGTTGGTGAAGCAATAGCTCCCCCGGTGGCCGGAATTCAAGAAAGCATACTCTCATGAAGCTGGAAAGTTAAATAGCCTCTGTGTCTCTGTCTATATATCAGTATTTCTCAACCTTCCTAATGCCACGACCCCTTAATACAGTTCTCCATGTTGTGGTGACTCCCCCCCCCCCAACCATAACCTTGTTTTTGTTGCTACTTCACAACGGTAGTTTTGCTACTGTTATGAATCATAATATAAATATCTGATATGCAGGATGTATTTTCATCCATTGCATCAAATTTGGCACAAATACCCATTTGAATACTGGGGGGTTGGGTTGATTTTGTCTTTTGGGAGTTGTAGTTGCTGGGATTTGTAGTTCACCTAAAATCAAAGAGCATTCTGAACTCCACCAACGATGGAATTGAACCAATCTTGACGCACAGAACATTCCATGACCTACAGAAAATATTGGAAGGGTTTGGTGGGTATCGACCTTAAATTTTGGAGTTGTAGTTCACCTACATTCAGACCAAACTTGAGCATAAATACTCAATACTCCAAATAATCCCAGGAATAGACTTGAGTTGTGTAAAAACTCCTTCCACATCTCACAATGATAATTTTGCTTCCAAGTTGTGTTTTTTTTTCCTCCCCAGGAGAACAATTTATGAATATATAGATATAAGGACTTTATCAGATGGGTATGGGGAAAGCAGAGGGAACTGTCTTACTTCGTTTCTTACTGTATTTCCCCATCTTCTGGGATGGTCAGCCATCCCATGTCCTTTCTCCATCTTCTCCCCATTTTTTGTTGTTTTAAGTTGTTTGGAGTTGGATAGCACTGTAGAAACGGAGCCTCACAGAGTCTCACCAGAAGTGCCCTTACATTATGAGACGGCCCCCATTAGACTCCCATGGGCTCCATTTCCAAAGCACATGGACACATAATGAACTACCCAACAGCTTTTCTCCCATCAAAATACTTGAAACCATGTAGATACTAGGCTTGGGTAACCACGGAAAAATTTGGTTCTAAACTCGTTTTGTTTTTAGGGGGCCCTTGCGTTTCGTTTTTTTTTTAAGAATTCTGAAATTTTCCTTTTAAAAATTTTGAAATATACGAAATTTCGTAAAATTACGAATCGATTTGTTAATGGCGGACGCGATTGCGCAATATGCTAAAAAAAACTCCAAATGGGACAGGGGGAACTTCTGAAGCTTCCCTCTCCCTCTGTTGTTGACTGTTGGTGTGATAAAACAAACAACAACTATATTATATTATAATATAATAATATTATTATATTATATTGTTGTATATTATATTATATTATAATATTATTATATTATATTATTGTATATTATATTATATTATAATATATTATATTATAATATAATTATAATATATTATATATATTGTATTATATTATAATATACAATTATAATATAATATAATAATAATATAGTAATATAATATATATTATATTATTATTATATTATTATATTATATATTATTATAATTGTATATTATATTATATTATATTATATTATATTATATTATATTATATTATATTATATTTATTATTATTTTATTTTATTTTATTTTATAATAGCTGTACCTGGCAACGCATTCCTGTCGCATAGAGTGAGGGTATGAAAAATAAAGTAATGAGAAATTTTGGGCAAGAAGGATGCCAGGAGAAAGAGGAGGGAGGGGGGAATGTGGGATTTGCCAGCTGGAAGGAAGGAAGGAAGGAAGGAAGGAAGGAAGGTAGCCCAGTGCAGCCCAGAGTGAGGCAAGAAGAAGCATGAGGAAAGAGGAGGGAAGCAGCAGAGCAAAGGGACCGGAAGTGGGGTAAATGCGAGATTGTAAAACTTGCACCAGACATACGAAAATAATTACGAAATAATTACGAAATAATTACGAAAATTGGAAAAATTGTTTCGATTCTTAATTACTCCTCACACTATTCCTGCATGGCTCAATATTGGATCGTAAGCTAATTTAAATACGAATTAATAACGAATAACGAAATTAACGAACTGGATCGCCCAAGCCTAGTAGATACTTCTTGTACAGTGGACTTCTTTTGAGATGGTGGAGTTTAAGGAAAATAGACCTTGACATTTGGGAATTGTAGTTGCTGGGATTTATAGTTTACCTACAATCAAAGAGCATTCTGAACCCCACCAAAAATAGAATTGGGCCAGACTTCCCACACAGAACCCACATGACCAACAGAAAATGCTGCATTTTCTGATGGTTTTTCACGAACCCTCTGAAACACCCTCAGTTGAGAAACACTGCTATATATGTTTTGTGTCTATGGCATTGAATGTTTGCCATATATATGTGCATTGCGATCCGCCCTGTGTCCCATGCGGGGTGAGAAGAGTGGAATATAAACACTGCAAATAAATAAATAAATAAATAAATAAATAAATAACAATTGGGTCACACCGTCTACAGAAAACCCACACACACAGATAGATTTCTACATAAAAACTCCAACCATCACCCAAGTCAAAAAAGAAGCACCATTAAAGCCTTGGCAGACCGTGCAAAAAGAATCTGCGAACCCCACCTCCTCCAAGATGAACTGAACCACCTCAACTGGGCTCTCCAGGCCAATGGATACTCCACCTCAGACATCAGAAGAGCTGCAAGACCAAGAACAAGCCACGAGATAAAGATTAAGATCCACCCAGAGAAAAAGTGTTCTTGCCATACATCAAGGGAACCACTGACCGCATAGGGAAGCTGATGAGGAAACACAACATACAAACTATCTACAAACCCACCAAGAAAATCCAACAAATGCTACGTTCAGCAAAGGACAAGAGGGATCCTCTCACCTCTGCAGGAGTCTACCGTATACCATGCAGCTGTGGACAAGTCTACATAAGGACCACCAAACGCAGCAGCATTGCCCAAACACGAATCAAGGAACATGAAAGGCACTGCAGACTACTTCAACCAGAGAAGCCAGCCATAGCAGAGCACCTGATGAACCAGCCTGGACACAGCATATTATTTGAGAACACAGAAGTGCTGGACCACACCAACAACCACCATGTCAGACTACACAGAGAAGCCATTGAAATCCACAAGCATGTGGACAATTTCAACAGAAAGGAGGAGACCATGAAAATGAACAAAATCTGGCTACCAGTATTAAAAAAACTCTAAAATTACAACAGCAAAACAGCAGAGAGGAAACAACCAGGCACATCTTAACACCTCTCAACAAAAGATTCCCCCAGGCTCAGCCAGGCCTTCAAATGCTAATGAAGGTGGTCAGTTGAAACATTCACACCTAGCTCCAGCAGGGAAGAGCTCTTTGCCCCACCCCACCCATTCCACAGATATATAAACCCACTGTCCTAATTC